CGTGATTAGGATAGAAAGAAATCCGATGTTTGGGACCTGCATTTTTACATCAAAAACGCGAAATACCAACTCCTACGTATATTCTTGAATATCAATTTCAGTGTTCAAGAGCGATTTTCGGGTTTTTTTTCCTCCCAAAGTTGTGTGTCATTGTTGACGATGTTCGCCAAGTGCTGATTTCTTCGTAGTCGTATTCCCGTCACCACCTACAATTCGTGATCGAGTCGATCACTTTTATTTCGACTGCGAGATGACCTGCATTAGATGCGATATTTCAAGGCACATTTCTGCTATTAAACCTTGAAAGGATTTTCAATTTTCGCACTAACCTCGATTTCGTTTCCGCCGTGAGTTTTCGAGGAGCGATGAGAAATGAACACTTTAAAAAGATCGAGATGAGATCAACTGGGTGCTTGTGAGGATCCTACAAGGATCCAATTTTTTTTGTATTTAGCCTTTTTCAAAATTCCCCGCTCGGCTTGCGGAAATGGCCGCTGTCGCGAAATCGTTATTGCGCTCGTGGCTCGGTTTCTTGGCCATCGTCACGATCATTTCCCCAGGGACTCATGGTCGTGAGTACGGTACAACTTCGAGGTACACATTTCCGCAGAGATTCGCGTCAGCGAGGATCGATAGTGAGTTTGATTGTCCGCCGGGTTGTCCGCCGCCGCCGTGTCCGGCGGGCTGTCCGCCGCCACGACCGCCATGTCCGCTTAATTGTCCGCCTCCGTGTCCCCCAGGCAAGTGGTTGGGGAGGGGGAAAATGAGGAGAAACTCGAAAAATTTTTCAAGGCGGTCCTCAGGGTTGTTGTTGTTGTTGTTGAGGCATGGGTCGAATGTTTTGTCAATACTCGACGCTGAAGTTAGATTCCCGTGCCTCGATTGAATCATCCAAAAATAATCTTGATATACTGTATTGTGCAATGGTGGTGACTCGGTTAAGGGACTTGATCCGTTTCATCGCCGAAGTCAAAGATTTGGACGATGTCTTGTCGATTTTGATGATCATTTGTGACTTGACTCGGTCAATAAACTTTCCAATGTCCAATTCGGAAATCCCGAATCTAAAAAATAAATTCAATTACGTTGTACGTTGAAGCTGCCGTGAATTGCTCATCAGTTTTATATGCAAAAGTAAAATTTTAATTTGTAACTGTGTAGAATGGTCTAACCGTTTTAGATCTCTAGAGAAGTATTGCCTGAAACATATTGAAAAATATGCCCTGTATATGTTCCACGTTTAATATTGTTGAGGCTGAAAAAAAATCCTACGAGAAGAAAAATCTCAACGCAGTCTTGATGATGAATTCTTGAATCAACTTGAAAAATTACGCTGGCAGCCAAATTATCCATAGAAACTACGAGTTTTAAAGAAATCATTACTGAAAGATACGAGAAACATCTTTTAGAGAAATGAACGACGGAACACAGAGAAATTACTAAGCACAAATTGAAACACTGCCTGTTCCCGGATTATTATTATTTTTTTAAACTGGTGAAACAATTTTGAAAACAAAAATAATTGAAGGGAAATCATATAAAGCGAACCCTTCATCCGAACATGTTTCGGAGTGCGTGCTTTAAAAATTCAGGGGTCGAGCTGAAAATGGAGATTATCATTTTCAAAGATAGGAAAGAAATGAAAACAGTAGGCATGCTTTGAAAATATTTAGGGGCCGAGTGCGTGTGCCCAGCCCGGTGCTCCGGGTGCTGCTACCCGCCGCCACCTTGCTACCCGGGTTGCGAGCCGTGCTGCTGGCCGCCGCCACCGTGTCCGCCGGGCTGTCCGCGGCGCCCAGTACCCCGCGTGAAGCCATTTAAGCCGCCGCCGAATGAAAAACCCAAGCCCTGCGTGCCTGACCAATTTCCGCCGCCGGGTGTCGCCGCTTTCGGCCTCAAGTCGGAGCACTTCCGCTCTGGCCCCGCTGTTTTGAATGGACTCTTGGAAAAAATCCGGAAGTGAGTCGGGAGATGGAATGCTTTTGGGGTGGAATGCAAAAAAAAAAAAAGGAGGTCGAAGTTTCTGCAGCAGCGAAACATGTGATGGATTTCTCTTCGGAATTCTGAGGGTCACCAACACCATATAAGTGTATACCTGTAGGCGGATGATGGCTAATGTGTATTCAATTTTTCGCATTTGCGAAGAAATTTCAGTCCTTTCCTAGTACAGTATCTGAGACCCATCAGAGCATTTTTTGAGACAGCTTTCTGTAGATTTCGTGACACTTGAGAGAAGCCCTCTTCGGGAAATAAACTAAGCCTAGTTCGAGTCCATAAGTTTCAGTCAGTATTCAGGATTTTTCCAGTCTTGTCACAAAAATAAGTACGAAATCGTTCGTATACTTTTTAATTCGTCGAGAGGTTTTTTTTTTTCTGTAAATATCTCACACAAAAATAGAACGCTCAGTTTTCATGAAATGTTTCAACCAACTGAAGTGCAACTGATTTATTAACTTGAAAATGCGTTCCAAGAAATGAAGGTTCACTGATCTACTCCGTGTATTTTGAAGAAAAATACTGTATATTCTTTTTTTTTAATTTTATTGATTAGATCATTTAATTTTTAAAACCTTTTTCTATAACATTCTTACAGATTTGATGAAATATCTAGGTTTTCGTGATCCGAGACTAAACCATGTAAAAATTTAAAAGGAAATAATTCTTCAAATATTTTAATAAAATGGCAATTTGTTTTTAAATTTACTAAGCATAAACGGAGAAGGTATGAATATTTTTTGGCCCCGATGGGGTATTGCAAAAAATTGTGGAATTAGCAGCTCTGAAATCAATCCTGCATGAAAGCGGTAATTGATGATGTAACTGTGCGAAATTGTTTTTCTGCATTCACTAACGGGGTGATTTAAAAAATGTAAAAATCTGAAATGATCTGGAAAATTCATCGGTGCACTTTTTTTTAGCAGTTATCTAACCCCCTCGTGACCTAGCTTGAAATACTGTACTGTACTTTATTGTATAAAAATTCGGACCTGGCGCTTAAATCACACACTTGTTCTCGATTTCATTGATCTTCCGAAAAATATGTTGAATACAGTATGGGATTATAGTTAAGTCTGGGCTTCTCCATAAATTCTCTTCGTCCTTTTTTGTGTGGATAAAGAAGAGAGTCTTCATATAGTTGGGGTTTTATCCGCTTGCCAGCTCCCTAACCGAACCCAACACGGGTTGCAAGAACCCCAACTACCTCCCGCAAAGCAACGACCTTTCCAACCTAGTCCCGTATTCCGGTCGCCGAAAGAGAGCCGCGCCAAAATCCACGGACCACATGATCACCTTTGACATTTCCTCCCTGGACCCGGACACGCAGAAACGCATGAGCAGCGAAATGCGCACAACTGCCAAATACGACCCCGGGTTGCAGTTGTTTGGCGGCCACGGGGATGCCCCGGTCCCGATTCGGGTCCGCAATAACCCGGATCCCAAAAAGTTGATCACTGTTGAAGGGCCCAAAGACGTTAGTCCGTATAAATCTGGGGCCGGGGCACTGGAGAAATTGGCTGCGGCTGCTTTTAGAGCGAAGACTCGGGTTGCGAAGGCTATTTTCCCGGATGCCGAAGTGGAGCAGAAGTGTGACGGGCTGGTTGGAGAGCAAAAAATCAATTGTCTCAAGTACACGAGGATTTCGAAACGTGGGACGATGAATTGATTAATTGAATAATTGATTGATTGATTGATTGGTGGGCTTCGCCAAATTTATTTTTTTCCGGACTTTATTTACCTGTCTTCCTTCCCCTCCCCCCCTGAATTAATTATTGGTTATAAATCCGCTGATGTAGTGGTGAGGGAAACCTTCGAAAAATTTCTTTTTTGACGATTTTTTTTCCCTCTCGAAAAAGAGCGGAGAATTTTTCATCATTTTATTGGAATTTGTTCACCTTTTAGCAATTTTATGGATGTTGACCATTGAAATTCACAATTTTTGGGAAGAAGAGCTGAAAAATGGGCTCAATGAATCTGAACGCCTAGAATACCTCGAGAATTTTGATTCCAGTTTTTGAAAAAAAAAGGTTCATCTTGTCCGTATTCGATATTTTTCGAAAGTGCGTGGAAAATCCATTTTATCAAATGATGGAACGTTTCTGCGTTCAAATACGTTTAGACTGTTTGACAATTGATTGAATTTCCCGGAAATTTCTATCTTTTACTGGAAACTTGACGATTCAGATTTCAAGCGAAAACGAATTTTTTCTGGCATTGATGGGCTTTCAGGAATTCCTGGAACCGTGCATCTTTCAAATTTCAGGCGGACATTGAAACATTTTCGTTTCTGATGAGTCCGCTTTAAATCTACCCTGTCATGAAATTGGACCTGGAAATCTCGAAATTCTCGAGATATCGAAATTGGGCATGATTGGTCTCAATTTTTTTCTGCGGCTTATCGACTTGATCGATTTGATGATCGATTTGATCATTGACATTCGTATTCTCAAAGTTCCACGTGACTACATTCTCATCAACTATCAGACACCGATTCCTCCTCATTCCCCATAAAATTCGTCATTTCCCAAAAAAAAGGGGGGATCAAATGAAAAATAGCGCATTTTCCCACTTGCGTATGATGAAAGTTGAAATATGCTAAAAAAAAACCNTTCCCACTTGCGTATGATGAAAGTTGAAATATGCTAAAAAAAACAGCATGTCATCTTGAAAATATTTCTCGAATTACTTCTTTCCTCCAGAGATGAACGACTTCATAATTTGCACGATTTTGCGAGGTTGTAACTCCATGCAAATCGAAATCCGCGAGGAATGAGGGTTTTCCCTCGATATATCTCTCATAAACCCCTTTGAAGGTTCGGGGTAACCTTAATTTGCACGAGACTCTTTTAACTAACGTTATACAAGGGGTCATTGTGTGATGACTAATTAGCACGAGGCGTTAATCGTATAATTCATCTGAAAAAAATTTAAATGACTGAAAATTGTGCGCGTTGGGGTTGAAGGAAGCCAGAAAATAAATACTGAAAATAAATTTGAGCACTATGGCGCCGATCCCAGTGGGATTCGCGGGTCGGCTCCGCGACGTGAAACCCCGCCGCAACCCGCCTCGGTTCCTCCCTTCCCTGGCCCTGGCCGTGGGTCTCGTGGGCCTCACAATGCCCCTGTTCATCATGCTGAGGGCCATGGTGAACGTGACCCAGAGTCTGGACGAGGTCAAGGACATGTTCCACTACCAAAGCCCCGTTTACTCTGACTGGCCGATTATTGGAAATTCTCGACTGAAGCGTCAGCAGCCGCCGTCGACGACGACGACGACGACGATGAATGACTCTGTCGAGTCTATCCAGGCTGAGTTTCAGGCCTTGAAGCGACGTTCGGACGATGCCAAGATGAACGTTGTTGTCGAGACCAGTGTTTTCGACAGTCTCAACGACACTGTCGGCGTGGAGCTGGCGTTGCGACGCTTTAGTGTCGAGTCGACGCAGTTGTATGTCGAGTCTGTGGGGCTGTTGAGGAGGTTGTGCGTCTTGGCTGAGCAGGACGCGGTGTCGGTGAGACCCGGGTTGCACGGGTCTGGGCTCGCGTACTCCGTGCTGGATGCCTGGCGACACCATGATGCCCCAGAAGAAGAAGAAGAACAGCAGCAAAAACAAAAACAGGAAGAGCCCCGGCTACCTTACGAACCCGTCGCCTCGAAGCAGCAGGAATTGAAATTACAGGGTGGACTGGAAAAAAGTAGACAGATATTATTTTTTTTTTTACAAGCAGTGATACCATCTCCTGAACAATTAGAGCCATCATAGCATGAAAGAAAGAAAACCGCGGATTTCTTGACAGCCCTAATTCTTCTGTCCACTAAAATAAATTTAATTCCTTGTTTTAATTTAGATGACACATTCTGAATTTAATGAGAAGCATCAAGTGGAATTAAAAAAAATTAATCTTCCCTGCCATTTACTTACGATTTTTTAAATTTAAAAGCTAGCGGACTCTTTAATTTGCAAATATTTCTGACAGTAACTTAACTTTACTGGACACTAACTTAACTTTACTGGACACTAACTTAACTTTACTGGACACTAACTTAACTCTGCTGGATTCTAGCTTAATTCTTCTTGACATTAACTTCATTCTGCTGGACACTTACTTTAATTCTGCTGGACATAAACTTAATTCTGCTGGACATTAACTTGAATCTGCTGGACACTTAACTTGAATCTGCTGGATACTAACTGAAATCTGCTGGTTACTAGCTTAAATCTTGACATTAATTTCATGCTGCTTGTCATTAATTTGATATATGAAGCTCATTTCCTGTTCTAAACTACCTAAACCAACTTAATGATCAAAATTACATTTATTGCTTCTCCAAAAATATCTCAAGTTTATTGACCAGAGGAAAAATGTGATTAGAAACCCCAAATATCCCCAAAATTGTATGGCATGGATGCCATGCGGTATTTTCTTCGCGGTCGAGATAATTTAAAAGGCGATTACATCATATATTTTTTTCACCAGAGTAGCTTGAATTAACGTTGTCTGAAAGGTGTTGGCCCTAAATTGTTCAGGAGATATCATTCTCTGCCAAAGTAGGCCTCAATAAATTTCTGGCCGAAACCCTGTAGAGTCCGGACAGGAACCTGAAAGTGTGGGCCGGGACCTGAGCCCGGAAGTCGGCGTTGTTGCGAGACGGAAGCGAAGCATGGATTACTTCAGATACTTTACAACTGGTGGCGGCGAAGAGGAACGAGATGACTCGTACACCGATCCCGGAATGATGATGGTTCCGAGTCGGGATATGAACCAGGTTCCTTTCTACTTGAGGTTCCGGATGCCTCCGCATCCGAATTACCACGAATACAGTCCCCCGGATGAAAGGTTTCCAATTACACGC